GATATTGTTTCAGAAGAAGGGCATACACACAGTGAATAATGTTCCTTCGCACTGACGCTCCTCAGTTCTTCATTAGCTTCACGCGGGGGTATATTTGAATTTCTTGTGTGTATATGAAAGACTCTTTCTTTTCGTCAGTCAGCAACTCAAATAAGTCAAACATGTTCAAGGCAAGTTGTCGAGTACACTCATTCCCGATTAAATGCTATTTGAGTTTGTTTCAACCCTACCCGTCTATGAATGAATGTGTACTTTACAATGAGTCTCACCTAAAGCTCATGTCAGTGACTTATTTCAAACCGCCTGGTCGGTGTAACCAGCCCACTCTCGTGTATCATAAAACCCCTTGTGTGCCTTGATGGCAGGACGTGTAACACTGCTTGTGAATTGTGACATTTTTCTCCTGATCAGCTAAATACAACTTGATTATATTTCGACAGCAATTGGATAATTACATCTGCAGCATCTATGTGATGTTTCATCGTTGAAACCAGACTGAATATGCATAATTTCAAGTGTTTATTTTTGCTATTTGATGAATGAAAGGTTGCTGGATAGAGAACAATACCCTTCCTCACATTGGACCTTGTGTGTTACCAAAAGGTTCTATCAACAACCTTGCGACATGCATTCATGTACAGGAGGGGCTGATTACCAAAGCCGTTGCACTGCAAGGGAGGTTCTCTATTCCCCAAGTGAAAACTGTCCCCTTTTATAGCCAGCTGTTTTAAGGAATGTTAAAACATGTAAGCGTCAAAAGCCACAAAGAGTGTGGTTGCGAACCTGTAATAAGTGAATTCATTAGATACTGTATCAAACATATTCCTAGAGACAAAAGAACCGTCACAAATTTCCATTCAAATGTTATCGAATGTGGTGACATTCGACTCGTTTGAAATGATGAATATAATTGCTATACGTGAATATACCATCATACCTTACGTTTGTGTGTACAGACCACCTCAATCCAGGAATAATAATAATCTGACTACAACCCAGTTTCGTGAGGAATACTCTACTTTTTTCTTTGAAGCAAAAACGTTTGATTTTACTAGGAGACTTTAATGTCCATTTCAACAAGGTGGATTCACCAGTGGACAAGTTAATGGATTCTAATAACTGGGTCCAGATAGTGAATCATCCAACCCATCGTTCTGGTCATATAATTGACATGGTCGCTATTGGACAGTCATTTTCATTGATAACTGATTAATTGGTGAGGACAACCAAGATTCAGACCATCATCCTGTGTTGGATATACTGCTTTCACTACAAAAAAACTAAACCTACCCGGAAACATCATGGCCATCATGAGAGATGAAACGGAAACTAGTCTTTAACGTGTCACTGATGATCAGTTATGTGGCGCTGGTGTTGGGAAAGTCAGTCTAACTGTGTTGTTAGACTTGTCAGGGCCATTCGACACTGTAGACCATGGTACACTCTCCCAGTGTCTAAGTCTGCGAATTGGCCTGGCTGGTCATGCCACCGAGCGGTTTGTCCCCTTCCTTCGGGATAGGCGCCAGTACTTATAAAGGATGAGGCATCAGAGGAGAGTGTCCTAACGTTTGGTGTTGTACAAGGTTCAGTCCTAGGACCGCTTTTATTCACAGTCTATTCAGGAAGCATAGGAGATGTTTTAGACAAATTCAACATTTATCACTGTTCTTTTGCTGATGACACGCAGTTAATCATAAGCTTCTCCCCTGGCGATTATTCTGCTGGAATTAAAGACCTGGAATGCTGTGTCTGTTCCGTAAGATCTTGAATGACTAAGAACTGCTTTAAACCCAATGACAGCGAGACTGACGTTTTACTGTAGTGATGATATCGGATGTTCGCGAAAAGGTAAACATATGCTGTCCCACCGGTGGCATCAGTCAGAAACACATGCACAAGCAAGTCAATTGTTCACCAGAAAAATCACGGTGTCAAATTGGGAAATGTCCTTTGCATGTCTACCATAAAACGCGTTGAAAGCTCTGCTGAGGCATTGAATGTTGTATCCTTGATTAAACAACTTTTCAGCCAGAGTCATATGACGCCCTTTGAGATCTTCGTGGAAAGAACGTGCTCAATTGTACCTCAAAAGTTGTGAATTGTTCGCAATTTCTTCGCAAATTATTCGCAATTTTACTACAGAACACGATAACAAACTTTTGCGTTGTACTATATGCATAGTATCATTCAAAATATGTTTGTTGATAGTTATATCATTGTGATCCCCCGAACATCCACTAAAGTGTTGCCCGTAATATAATGAGGACGTTAATTCTGGCTTGATATATTAAAAAGGCACTGTCAACAGTTGTGTACAGTTATACACTGATCTCTGGTTAATACTGCACGTGTATGTACGGCATACTGTAAGGGACATTCTCGCGATCTCGACTTTTGGAAACGAGCTTAATTTGCCCCAAAGTCGGGATTCCGAGATCGCGAGAACCCGAGATTTGGCCAAAATCTCGCGATCTCGCATTCTCGTGTTTTTTGTACAAAGCACTTTTTGTCAAAAATCGACAACACGAGAATGCGACATTTGGACATGATGTAAAATCTCGCAATCTGTCAAACATCTGGAATCTGTAAAAACATCGGAAAATCTCATTTTAGACGAATTCTACCATTTTGTCTGCGAGAATTTTGTTTAAATGAATATGCTAGCCGTGTATAATATTGCCTCATGGAGGAACTCACTGGCCTGTGATTATTTCTAATAGTGACGGTGTAGCCGCGAATACCTGCAATACTGCTGATGCAGCTTTAAGTATATTCACTCACTCACTGACAGTGATATTTTGTTTCCAGCTTCCGGGCACTTTGATGTTTTCACTACCATACAAAGGACTTTGTGTATGTAAATTAAATAACATTTTCCAGCTCAAGCCATGAGTTTGATGAATGCTACTTGGAGAATGAAAAGTATGAAAGAAGCATGATCACAGGACTACTAACGTGCGCACGGAGAGCGTCTGAAACGCGAGTACGCGAGATCGCGTGTCACATTTTCGCGCACTCGCGATTTCGTATTTTTGTGGCCTCATTTGACAATTCGAGATTGCGAGATTGCGAGATTTTCCACCGTGTCCAAATGACGCATTCCCGCATTTCGGCGTTTGGCAAAAAGTGCTATGTACCAAAAACACGAGAATGCGAGATCGCGAGAACGCGAGATTTTGGTCAAATCTTTTGGGCACATTTATCTTGTTTCCAAAAGTCGAGAGCGCGAGGATGTCACTTAGAGTATTCCATAGGTTCAATATCTCAACACCACTAAAGGAAATAGTGTGCATGACATACGTATGGAATACTGTAAGGGACATTCTCGAAAATGTCTTATTATCTTGCTAACTGTTAAACCAGGAAGTTTACAACGTTCGTGTGTTTCGCTCTTGAACATTTTGATTACCATCAGACATGTTCAGGTTTATCTCGTTACTGCCTGATGCACATTACAGTGTGCATTACAGATATGCAAATAAGATATTCATGCACGTCCGTCAGGCTGTAATTGTGAACATTACAATCTAGTAAATATCTGTTGTCCATGTAATAGTACTTGAAAAGGGGTGTCATTGTAAAGTGACCCGTGACTTAAAGAGACGGGGTCCGAGGCAATGGAGACGACAACTGGTCTGTTTATGTAATTGCTATGTATAAATGCTCCCATGCGAAGCTGACACGCCGTGATGTAACGTACATACTGTTAAACCAAACTCGCTCACTCACTCACTCACTCCTATGTATTATGGACATGGGTGTCCTAGTGTTCGTGTCCATCAGGGGCGGTCGGGTAGCTTAGTGGTTAAAGCGTTCGCTGGTCACGCTGAAGGCCAAGCTTCGATTCCGCAGGTGGGTAATATAAATTGTGTGAAGCTCATTTTTTGTGTCCCCCGCCCTTATATTGCTAGAATAATGCTAAAAGCGGCGTAAATCATACCCACTTATCAGCGTCCATCAGCTTGGTGGTCAGTTTGCTGGTTCTTCTTGGTTTGTCAGCACGATCTCCGTGCTCCTGGTTTCAGCAAAGTGGTAAACGTGTGGTAGAATAATGATTTCTTACACATCTCTATATATCTTTTTAATCAAAATTTCTAGCTATTTTAATTATTCGAAAGTTAGAAAATTGTCTCGTTATTTTCTCGAAATAAGGTTTTTTTTCTTGTTGCTTCGATTATCATCTCATTGTTTCGGTTATTTTTCTTGTTGCTTCGATTATCATCTCATTGTTTCGGTTATTTTTCTTGTTGCTTCGATTATCATCTCATTGTTTCGGTTATTTTTTCGCTGCTCCGGTATTTTCTCGTTATTTCAAGTTTATTAAAAATAATCGAAAGTTCTAGTTTTTCAGATAAACTTGAAATAATTAAAAACAGTCGAAGTAACGAGAAAGAAGCTCGTAATTTTGAGAAACTAATTGAAATAACGAGAGACAAAAATCGAAATTTCTAGTTTTTTAGGTAAATTTGAAATAACGAGAAAACAATAAAGAAAGCAATAAGTAAAAAATCGTAATTTCGAGAAAATAACTGAAATAACGAGAATATATTCGAAATTACGAGAAATAATCGAACCAACGAGAATATAACTGATTAACAAGAACAAACTCGAAATTTCGAGAAAATAAACAAATAATTGAAACAAGAAGAAACTTAAAAAAGAAAATAGTATGCTACCAAAGTGGCACCATTATGCTTTTGTACAAAAATACTAGTACGGATTCCCAGTATGTTTGTAGTTTGTTTGTAGTTTGAGCTGACTAAAGGGAATCGGGTAGCCAGGCGACTTGACTAACAGGGTGTCATCCTACTCCGATGCAGTGGACTGTTGTTGATACTTTCAGTCATTTATTTGCCTGGTCAAGATTCGATTATTAGACCGTCGTGATGCTCAATGCTGCTATATTCACTAATTGACGTGTCTAGTAGTAGCCACATAATTAAGGGCTGTATGGTGACCAGTGTTCCCGGTCTGCTAGCACGTCACTTTCTATATTGCAGGGCCCGGGTCGACAGCAAGGAAGATATCAGGTGGGAAATGCATAACCATTACTCAATATATGAACCAATAACATTAACATCACAGATGCTATCATGACCTAACCTACAGAGAATCCAGTTCGAGTGTTATTTCAGAGCAGAAGCGAGCTGTATACGTTCTGCCTTTAATGAACTAAAGTACAAAGCGTGATAGTAATTCATTGGTTGGTGTTATATAACATTGGGACTGTTCTGTGTGTACATATCTAACGTCAGCGCCTGGGAATAATCAGTCTCAAAGATCTGCCGGAACAGATTCCATTTGGCGTAACGCCAGATATGTGTGCCAAGCCAGGAAAATACATATCCTATATAGAGGTTTGGTTTCCCAACTGACAGAACTGATTTCTTTGATAATAATAATTGCATGTTTAGTCGGAGTGAAGACCTCCCCCGTGTCCCCTATCTCAGCGGGTCGTTCTTATCACAAGCCGATCTAGAAAATACAGTAAGCTGTCTAGTTCGTCAAACCTACCTTTATCTTCGACTGAGTCACACGAACAGTGTCTCGGAATGGACACCATAATGGAATATATTATCAGACGGCATATGTTACTTCAGTACCCGCCCTATTCTGAAGCCTAAACATCTCTACCAAGGAATCATATTTAGTCATCTGGACAACATGACCTGAGAACGGTCATTCAGTTCAATTTCATACTAACCAGCTAACTGACTGTCTTAATATTTCGTGGTTATTTCAATAAATTTCGTATACATACTGGCCATAAACTGTTGCTACTTCAACCTTTGCATGTACTTTTATATATTAATTTCCATCCGTTGGAGGATTGATTGACAAGTTCTGAGCCTCACATAAAAAGACCTGACTTAAAGACATTCAAATGATTTATTTCTCAACTTAATCCACCGCCGGTCGGTCATCACCATATCGTGGATTCTCGGAATAATTTCTGGTATTGCTAACGTGACATAACTTCCAGGACAGGGGTCGTCTTCAAGGCTCTCCCCGCCAGCTTAAATTCTCACCCCACCTCTTTATGCCAGCGCAGCACAGGAAGGGGCATCGTACCCTAGCGTCGTACTCATATGGTCAGAGACGGCTTTTGGTGTTATAAAGCCCTTTTTCTGTAAGAGCCTGATCACTGCAAATTCATCAAGCTTGTCCATTTTCCTAGTCACAGACTTCATATTTTACAGACTTGTCACGGCAATATTATTTGCTCAATTGACACAAGTGTTTATGGATATAGTTCTAGGACACCATGTAATGTCCACAACTAAGTATTTAACTGTAACATTTAAATGCCATCCCCTCTACGTGAGGCTCAGAAGCTATCAATCAACCCTCGCAGAAAATATGTAAACTGTTATCATCAAATATGTCCAGAGTTTTAATAATGTTTCAGTATGAATTATCATTTTTGGATACCCGTATACCTAACCATCTTATGTAATAGCCATGGTGAAACTAGGGTATGACGTCATCGTGTGTATCCTGTTTTATAATTAAGAGAGTTTTATAATTCCCCTGTTCGTTTAAGGCGATATAGCCATGATAAAACAAAAAGAAAAATTCTTTATTCTAATGTGATGTGGATATTGAAGTGCATTTGCTAATTCAAAACTCATTTGTATTCTTATTTTCACGCTACCAACAACACACACCACACAACGCCCCAGCAAACCCCACCATACCACCCCACCAATTTTTCACTTGATACCATAACGTAAGATAACCGAGCAGATTCCAGTTGCTTTGATTACTACTTAAAGATATAATTTTAGACGAATTGAGGAAAACGGTTTACATATCTATTGGTTTTGTTAGCCAAATAATTGACGAATGTTATTTATCGTTGTTGAGAATGTAACACATTCTGTGAACTACATCGGCTTTGAACCAGTGTTTAACATTATTAATTAGTGTACATACATTTCTGAACTATGGAACACAACTGGACGCTAACAGTGTTCCCTCCAATAGATACCACCGTGTGTTCAAACAGCAACAGCAGACATTGCTGAGAAACCTTGGGAATGTACAATGAAGAAATATGATGACATATTTCCACAGGAATATGACAAAACGGGAAACCGCACAGATGATGTTGTTCCTCTGATAACAAACATTAACCCGAGATACTAATACATATTCCACACAACACTGGCTCACATACCCTCTATAACCAAGGTGTAGTGTTCTTAAAGCTACAATCTACGCTACTGAGACGTAAATGATCATGTCTTCTCATATAATACACACCGCAAGTGTACAGTTTAGTAATGTAAGCATACTAAATAATGTCAATTAGAAATTCAAATTGAAAATGATCATGTATTCATATTGGTTCATTTCCAGAGAAATCCCCCTGCTTTCCACGGGCGTGGCCACCACTCCAACATATATCAGGTGGGGCTAAGCACTTGACATTTCTGAGATAAGCACCTTGAGCGTCTCGAGTGTGAGAGAGAGGTTAACTACCTTCTCTGCGCACGTATGTGGCCTCTTTTGGGGAACCTACATACACCATTTTACGTTCTGATACCTTAGTTATTATGTCCCAGCGTTGTTTTAGTAAATGTAGTTCTAAACCAAGACGGTAAAACATCTTGGTTATGACCCCAATTTACTAACACAACGCTGACATAGTACAGACATAATAATATTTGACAGGATTTTTCGCTCATGGCATTTCTCTTAACTCAGTTTTATCAGCATTGTACTTCTCTAATATCTACTAAAGTCAAATGAGTTCTTGTTAAGAAAGAATTTCACTTTTTGGTCTCATTGTTTGTATGACACATTCCTTCTTCTTAAGATGTAAATCTCAGTTCTCTTGTTAATACTTTTTAAGCACATGGCAGGATTGCGTCTTGTACTGTTGTTGTACTGTTCTTGTATTGTTCAACATGCACCAGCAACGACAATGGGCACCTTCTTACGACGACCCCGCCCACAGCAGGGATTACTATGAGTCACGCCGTTATCAGGTGATATACAGTCAAGTAAACATGCATAAGTAACAGTGTACCAATATACCTAACCATATATAGCTACAATATCTTTAAGGTCCAATGTCCGTATATCAGCACCTCGGTACCTTATTGCAAAGGTATTCTTTTATTCTAACCCATTCTTTAATTGTTCAACATACACCAGCAAGGACACTTGGTACCTCCATACATCGGCCACGACTACCACAGGGGTTATTTTCCGTCACACAGTTATCAGGTGATATATAAACATATAACTGTGTACAAGTCTACAGTGTACCCATTCTCCAACTAACCCTAATACCCTGAACTATTCATAGCGTAGATGCGTCCCTTGGATGTCATATAACCTGCACCATGACTTGCTACTAACATACCCGCTAGGACACTTTTATTATTATTGTTATCATTATTAATATCATTATTAGGCAAATAAAGTCCCAGTACCCTTATGTGCTCGTCGAATAAAACGAGGATCGGATGGTCACGATGTGTGCCCTAGGTCCTGTTCTCAATACCTTGGACTGCGTCTTAAGAGACTTATGGTCGTCGTAGTTCTAAGATGTAAGGCTTTTGTCTCCGGGCCCTGGCTAATTGATCGCCATTGTTCCCCGACGACGTTGATCCTTGCTCATTGGATACTTTGATGTAAAACCACATTCACTCACTCACTCACTCCTAGTATGCTGCTGTTGTTCAACATGCGTCAACATCGATTATAGACGGCTTCATACGACGACCCTAAATTATTGGAAACAGTACTAGAAACATATAGCCCTGCACATATAATATTCGGTGTACAAATTGCATGTGTTTTTTTATAACCCATGTATCCTATACAATATATCCTTCTCACAGTATTTAATACGGCCAATCTAACCATATATCTTCCGTCTTGCCTCAATATCCTCGTCTGGTGTTTCTGTCTTCACCCTGTCCCTAATCCTCGTCTGGTGTTTCTGTCTTCACCCTGTCCCTTTATCCTCGTCTGGTGTTTCTGTCTTCACCCTGTCCCCATATCCTCGTCTGGTGTTTCTGTCTTCACCCTGTCCCCATATCCTCGTCTGGTGTTTCTGTCTTCATCCTGTCCCCATATCTTCGTCTGGTGTTTCTGTCTTCATCCTGTCCCTATATCCTCGTCTGGTGTTTCTGTCTTCATCCTGTCCCTATATCCTCGTCTGGTGTTTCTGTCTTCATCCTGTCCCTATATCCTCGTCTGATGTTTCTGTCTTCATCCTGTCCCCATATCCTCGTCTGGTGTTTCTGTCTTCATCCTGTCCCCATATCCTCGTCTGGTGTTTCTGTCTTCATCCTGTCCCTATATCCTCGTCTGGTGTTTCTGTCTTCACCCTGTCCCCATATCCTCGTCTGGTGTTTCTGTCTTCATCCTGTCCCCATATCCTCGTCTGGTGTTTCTGTCTTCATCCAGTCCCTATATCTCGTCTGGTGTTTCTGTCTTAACCCTGTCCCTATATCCTCGTCTGGTGTTTCTGTCTTCATCCTGTCCCTATATCTTCGTCTGGTGTTTCTGTCTTCACCCTGTCCCCATATCCTCGTCTGGTGTTTCTGTCTTCACCCTGTCCCTATATCCTCGTCTGGTGTTTCTGTCTTCATCCTGTCCCTATATCCTCGTCTGGTGTTTCTGTCTTCATCCTGTCCCTATATCCTCGTCTGGTGTTTCTGTCTTCATCCTGTCCCCATATCCTCGTCTGGTGTTTCTGTCTGCATCCTGTCCCTATATCCTCGTCTGGTGTTTCTGTCTTCACCCTGTCCCTATATCCTCGTCTGGTGTTTCTGTCTTCATCCTGTCCCTATATCTTCGTCTGGTGTTTCTGTCTTCATCCTGTCCCTATATCCTCGTCTGGTGTTTCTGTCTTCATCCTGTCCCTATATCCTCGTCTGGTGTTTCTGTCTTCATCCTGTCCCTATATCCTCGTCTGGTGTTTCTGTCTGCATCCTGTCCCTATATCCTCGTCTGGTGTTTCTGTCTTCACCCTGTCCCTATATCCTCGTCTGGTGTTTCTGTCTTCATCCTGTCCCTATATCCTCGTCTGGTGTTTCTGTCTTCATCCTGTCCCCATATCCTCGTCTGGTGTTTCTGTCTTCATCCTGTCCCCATATCCTCGTCTGGTGTTTCTGTCTTCATCCTGTCCCTATATCCTCGTCTGGTGTTTCTGTATTCATCCTGTCCCTATATCCTCGTCTGGTGTTTCTGTCTTCATCCTGTCCCTATATCCTCGTCTGGTGTTTCTGTCTTCATCCTGTCCCTATATCTTCGTCTGGTGTTTCTGTCTTCACCCTGTCCCCATATCCTCGTCTGGTGTTTCTGTCTTCATCCTGTCCCTATATCTTCGTCTGGTGTTTCTGTCTTCATCCTATCCCTATATCCTCGTCTGGTGTTTCTGTCTTCATCCTGTCCCTATATCCTCGTCTGGTGTTTCTGTCTTCATCCTGTCCCTATATCTCGTCTGGTGTTTCTGTCTTCACCCTGTCCCCATATCCTCGTCTGGTGTTTCTGTCTCATCCTGTCCCTATATCTTCGTCTGGTGTTTCTTTCTTCACCCTGTCCCCATATCCTCGTCTGGTGTTTCTGTCTTCATCCTGTCCCCATATCCTCGTCTGGTGTTTCTGTCTTCATCCTGTCCCTATATCTTCGTCTGGTGTTTCTGTCTTCACCCTGTCCCTATATCTTCGTCTGGTGTTTCTGTCTTCATCCTGTCCCCATATCCTCGTCTGGTGTTTCTGTCTTCACCCTGTCCCTATATCCTCGTCTGGTGTTTCTGTCTTCACCCTGTCCTTATATCCTCGTCTGGTGTTTCTGTCTTCACCCTGTCCCTATATCCTCGTCTGGTGTTTCTGTCTTCACCCTGTCCCTATATCTTCGTCTGGTGTTTCTGTCTTCACCCTGTCCCTATATCTTCGTCTGGTGTTTCTGTCTTCATCCTGTCCCTATATCTTCGTCTCGTGTCTACGCTGTACAGAATGTGTTTAGATCCTAACACAACCCCAAACGCGTTCCTTGGTCCATAATATTGTGGCGTTTAGGGTCTAAACATGTCAAGGATCAAACATGTTTATGATTGTGTTATAACAGCTAAACGTGTTTAGAGTCTAAATGCGGGAATTTACACAATATACGTATTTAACTTCATACCACATGATATGCTAAGTATTTAAACATGATCAGATCATTAGGATATTACACTGTGATATGCATTTTGTCGTAAAGATGTTTAGATTATTGATATGTTGTGTTTAGGCTTTGAGACGATAGCTCATTTCATGTGTTTAGATCTTAACTCTTTAGATAGATCACACCAAATGATTATTCCTTTTCGGGTTTAAACACATTTTAGTCAAATCCCTCAACATGTTAAGATCTAAAAATGTCTTGTATGCGGTTACATTCTAAACACTTTTTTACTATGTACATCTTCCATTTTGTGTCTCATCTCGTGTCCATATAATCCATGTTGTGTCTACATCTTTCATCTCGTGTCTATAAAATCCATCTTGTGTATCTATCTTTCATCTCGTGTCTATATAATCCATGTTGTGTCTACATCTTTCATCTCGTGTCTATATAATCCATGTTGTGTCTACATCTTTCATCTCGTGTCTATATAATCCATGTTGTGTCTACATCTTCCATCTCGTGTCTATATAATCCATCTTATGTCTACATCTTTCATCTCGTGTCTATATAATCCATCTTATGTCTACATCTTTCATCTCGTGTCTATATAATCCATGTTGTGTCTACATCTTTCATCTCGTGTCTATATAAACCATGTTGTGTCTACATCTTTCATCTCGTGTCTATATAATCCATCTTATGTCTACATCTTTCATCTCGTGTCTATATAATCCATGTTGTGTCTACATCTTTCATCTCGTGTCTATATAATCCATGTTGTGTCTACATCTTTCATCTCGTGTCTATATAAACCATGTTGTGTCTACATCTTTCATCTCGTGTCTATATAATCCATCTTATGTCTACATCTTTCATCTCGTGTCTATATAATCCATCTTATGTCTACATCTTTCATCTCGTGTCAAAAATCCATGTTGTGTCTACATCTTTCATCTCGTGTCTATATAATCCATCTTGTGTCTACATCTTTCATCTCGTGTCTATATAAATCATGTTGTGTCTACATCTTTCATCTCGTGTCTATATAATCCATCTTATGTCTACATCTTTCATCTCGTGTCTATATAATCCATCTTGTATCTACATCTTTCATCTCGTGTCTATATAATCCATGTTGTGTCTACATCTTTCATCTCGTGTCTATATAATCCATGTTGTGTCTACATCTTTCATCTCGTGTCTATATAATCCATCTTATGTCTACATCTTTCATCTCGTGTCTATATAATCCATGTTGTGTCTACATCTTTCATCTCGTGTCTATAAAATCCATCTTATGTCTACATCTTTCATCTCGTGTCTATATAATCCATGTTGTGTCTACATCTTTCATCTCGTGTCTATATAATCCATCTTATGTCTACATCTTTCATCTCGTGTCTATATAATCCATGTTGTGTCTACATCTTTCATCTCGTGTCTATATAATCCATCTTATGTCTACATCTTTCATCTCGTGTCTATATAATCCATGTTGTGTCTACATCTTTCATCTCGTGTCTATATAATCCATGTTGTGTCTACATCTTTCATCTCGTGTCTTAATAATCCATGTTGTGTCTACATCTTTCATCTCGTGTCTATATAATCCTTCTTATGTCTACATCTTTCATCTCGTGTCTATATAATCCATGTTGTGTCTACATCTTTCATCTCGTGTCTATAAAATCCATCTTATGTCTACCTCTTTCATCTCGTGTCTATATAATCCATGTTGTGTCTACATCTTTCATCTCGTGTCTATATAATCCATCTTATGTCTACATCTTTCATCTCGTGTCTATATAATCCATGTTGTGTCTACATCTTTCATCTCGTGTCTATATAATCCATCTTATGTCTACATCTTTCATCTCGTGTCTATATAATCCATGTTTTGTCTACATCTTTCATCTCGTGTCTATATAATCCATCTTATGTCTACATCTTTCATCTCGTGTCTATATAATCCATCTTATGTCTATATCTTCATTCCTGTGTTGATATCTTCAATCACGTGTCTATATCTTTCATCACGTGTCTATATCTCCCATCACGTGTCAATATCTTTCATCTTGTGTTGATATCTTCCATCTGTAAAG